GGTTGGGTGTGTGTGTGGAAGGACCTGTGCAGCTGCAGCCTGGTGCCGGTCTTTGGGGGCTATCGCGGTGTGTGGTGTGGTGTCAGTGGTAGCACTGTTTGGGTGGCTGGGTACCTTCGTTTAGCACTTCCCCGGCCACAATCTCCCTCCCCTTCCCTCGTGCCTTCCCTCCCGCCCCCTTACCCTGGCTCTTCTTTTGCGCCCCATTTTTACCGCCCGCACATCCACCCTCCCGCCGTGAACCCCCCCGCCCTCAGGCCGCTAAGGCCTTGGCCTCCAAACACGGCTGCATCGTGGCCGTGTCCGGAGCTGTGGATTACGTAAGTCATCTGCGTGCGCATCGTGCGTGTGTGTATGTGTGTGTTTGCGGGGGGGGGGGGAGACAAGAGTTGCCGGACCACCACCCCGCTAGGAGCGCTGCTCAAGCCGGCCCCTCTCCCGCCCCGTTCTTTCTCTCCCCTTCCCTCCCCCCCCCCCCAACACACACACACACACAGCCCGCACCGGCCCCTCCCCCCCCTGTCCTCGGATGCGCCTTCTGGACGTCGTCAGCTGCCTAAGTTAAACACCTCTTGCCCTCCCCCCCCCTTGCGTCGTCGTTACCATTATCATTGTCATTGTCATTATCATTACCGTTACCGTTACCAGGATCATTGTCATTATCATTACCGTTACCGTTACCAGGATCATTGTCATTATCATTACCGTTACCGTTACCGTTACCAGGTTCATGTAGTTTACTCCCACCTCCACTACCACTCCTCCTCGCGGGCTCTTCCCCCCCCACACACACCCACACCCACACACACCCGCCCACACCCCTCTCCAGGTCACTGACGGCCGCCGGGTGGTGGCGGTTTGTAACGGCCACGAGCTGCTGACCCTGATCACCGCGGCGGGCTGCTCCCTCACCGCCCTCATCGCGGCCTTCCTCGCGGCCGTCCCGCCCCCGGACCACTTGCTGGCCACGGCACATGCACTGGCTGTGTTCGGGTGGGTAGGGCTGGGTAGGGCTGGTAGGGCGTTGAGTGACACTCCCTCATTGCGAGAAGGGAAGTTTGCTTTGCTTTGCTGCTCGGGGGCTGCTTTCGACAAGCTGAGGAGCCCAACAGCCCCCCCCTCCCCCCCTCCCCCCCTAGCTAGCTGGCTGGTCTGGATCCCCGAGCGCCTCTCTCCCCGGGCTTTCCTCTCCTCCTGCCGCTACCTCCCTTCACCCATTTCGGCGTTCGATCCACGTCAACCCCCCTCCCTCCCTCTCCACCTCATACACCCCTCCCGCCTACCTACCTACCCTACCTACCCTACCTGCCTAACCTACCTGCGCAATCCCTGGTACGGCCCGCCCGGCCCGTCCGGTGCAGTCTCGCCGCGGAAGAGGGCCTCAAGCTCACCCCCCGACCAGGGCCTGGCAGCTTGAGAGTCGCCCTCATGGACTGCCTGCATCTCATGAGCAAGGTGGTGGTGGAGGGGGGGATGGGGGAGGACGAAGCACAGACGAGGGGTGGGGAGGCCCCCCCGAGCGGAGCTGGGAAAAAGTGATTACGAGGGAGGGAGGGAGGGAGGAAGGAAGGGGGGTGTCTTCTTGTCGTACCATCTCTGACACCAAGTAGTACCTCCTACCACAACTGTCTGTTCCCACGCCCGTGTGTGTGTGTGTGTGTTTGCCCTCCTCCGTTCTGATTTCCCCCCCTCCTTTGTTGCCGCCTCAGGAAGCAGTTCTTGCAGGCGCCCGCATTGGGGTGCTGGTCAGCTGAAGACCGCGACAGCAGGAGGGAAAGTAGATTGTCGTATTGGTACAGCAGCAGCAGCGGCAGCAGCAGCAGGATGACGCAAGCAGTGGCGGTGCTGGTGGCGGTGGTGGCCTAGGTGGTGGAGCAGTCGGCAACGTGGGCACCCAGGAGCAGTGCAGGGCCTCGAGTGCCGCTGAGAGATGCAGATGCACCCGGTGGCTCTCTCAGCTTAGCTACAGCAGCAGCAGCAGGAGCATCCTTAACCTATTTCGTTTTACCTTACAGCAGCAACTACTACTACCGCTATCCCCATCCCCACCCTATCTAGTTCTACTGGTCTCTCATTACTGTAACTTCACTACTCCAACCCTTGCCTTTTCTCCGTGCACTAAATCCGCACATCAAGTAAACTTTTCACAGCCGTAATCACCTTACCCACACCCTTCGCACACTACTCAGCTTCTCACCTACACCTGCTAACCGCTTCTCCACACCACCACACAGACATACCTGTCAACCCCAACACTTACCCTTCAACACCGCCCCTCTCTTTTTTCTACAAAAAAGCTCCCACAGAAAAACACCGAAAAACAAAAATCACCTCACCAACTACGAACTAACCACACATATCGGGTGCCGGCGGACCGGGCGCCTCCGTACACGCTCGTCCAGCTGGGCGACCTAAGGGGGACGCGCGCAGGGACGCGACCTGTTCGACCTGGCAACTCGCAGATTTTGGTCGGCTCGCGTGACATTTCATTAGAGGACCTTTGTATGGAACTTTTTCAGGTCGCTCGAGCGTCGCAGGAGCAGTGGCGACGCACTTTGTGGAGTGATGCACATCCATGGAGTCCAGGAATTAACTTTGCTCGAGCAGCCACCTTGTATGGCCGGGGGGCCCCAAAGGGGTGTCGCGGAGTCAACGTTGGTAGGGCCGGAGGGCCCAAAGGGGCGCCGCGGAGTCGACGTTAGGAGGGCCGGGGGGCCCAAAGGGGTGTCGCGGGGTCGACGTTAGGAAGGCCGGGGGGCCCAAAGGGGTGTCGCGGAGTCGACGTAAGGAAGGCCGGGGGGCCCAAAGGGGTGTCGCGGGGTCGACGTTAGGAAGGCCGGAGGGCCCAAAGGGGTGTCGCGGAGTCGACGCTAGGAAGGCCGGAGGGCCCAAAGGGGTGTCGCGGAGTCGACGTTAGGAAGGCCGGAGGGCCCAAAGGGGTGTCGCGGAGTCGACGTTAGGAAGGCCGGAGGGCCCAAAGGGATGTCGCGGAGTCGACGCTAGGAAGGCCGGAGGGCCCAAAGGGGTGTCGCGGAGTCGACGTTAGGAGGGCCGGAGGGCCCAAAGGGTGTTGCGGAGTCGACGTTAGGAAGGCCGGAGGCCCCAAAGGGGTGTCGCGGAGTCGACGTTAGGAGGGCCGGAGGGCCCAAAGGAGGGTTGCGGAGTCGACGTTAGGAAGGCCGGAGGCCCCAAAGGGGTGTCGCGGAGTCGACGTTAGGAGGGCCGGAGGGCCCAAAGGAGGGTTGCGGAGTCGACGTTAGGAAGGCCGGAGGGCCCAAAGGAGGGTTGCGGAGTCGACGTTAGGAAGGCCGGAGGGCCCAAAGGGGCGCCGCGGAGTCGGTGTTCGGATCGCCGGAGGACCCAAGGTAGGGTGGCACGGAGTTGATGCTAGGAAGGCCGGAGAGCCCAAGCTGGAGTATTGCGAGGTCGAATTTAGTAGACCGGAGTGTTTGGGGGAAAAGGGGGGGGTGAGGAGTGGACGTTAGAGAGACAGGAGAGCTCGAACTCGGGGTGTCGCGGAGGCGACGCTGGGAAGGCTGGAGAGCCCTAGCTTGGGGTGTCGCAGAGTTGACTGATGGAGGGCCGCAGGGTCCTAATTCCGGGTGTCGCGGAGTAGACGTTGGGATGGCCGGAGGGCCCAAAAAGGTGTCGCGGAGTCCACGTTTGCAAGGCCGGAGTGCCCGAAGAGGGGTGGCGCGGAGTTGCTGGTAGGAAGCCCGGAGGGGCCTAAGGTAGGGTGTCGTGGAGTCGACTGTTGGAAGACATGACTGCCCAAAAGGAGGTGTTGCGGAGGCGACGTGAGGTGGGCTGGAGGGCCCTGGGGTCGGGGACGTCGTGGAGTCGACGTCAGCGAGGCTGGAGGGTCCAAGCTTGGGGTGCAGCGAAGTTGGCGTCTGCAAGGCCAGAGTCCAACGTCGGGGTGTTGCGGACTAGACATTTGCAAGGCCGGAAGGGCATTAGTGTAAGGTACCGCGGGATCGATGTCAGGAGTGGTCGGAGGACCTTAGCTGGGGAGTAGCAAAGTCGACGTTTGGAAGGCCGGAGGGCCCAAGGCAGGATGCCGGTGCCGTTGATGTAAGGAAGGTCGGAAAGCCCTAGTTTGGGGTATCGCGGAATCGATGTTCGGAAGGTTAGAGGAGCTCAGGGTAGGGTGTCGCGGAGTTGACAGTGAGAGGGACTGTGTGCCTCCAAGTTCGGAGTGGTGGGGTTGACGTCGGCAGGGTCGAAGTGCGCTGGGGGCTGATCACCCAGTTCGGGGGTTGGGGAATCGACGTGTGCGGAGCCTATGGGACACCTTTGAGGCGTCACGAACTCTGTTGGACCTAGGCTGGTCCTCCCGGGGTGGAGGTTCGGAGACTGGGAGCTTAAGCTTGGGTTTGCGGATTTGACGTTTTGGGGCTCAGAGCGCCCGGATGTTGGCAGGGATGAGATGGACATGAGTGGGGCCGTCCCACCGAATCTGGCCTGGCAGTGCGGAGTCAAGATGGCGTGGGACGGTTATTATTGGGTACACTTCGGCCCGTATTTAGGGCAGCTCGGGATCATGGTTGACGGGGCCTGGGGGCCCGGAGGTGTCCGCTGTGACGGTGCTTTAGTAGGACATAAGGGCCCTGACTTAGGATATCTCGCGGTTGATATGCGGGGTGTGCCTCGGGGATTTGGCGTAAGCCGTACTCCTCGAGGTTATAGCGGCTTTTGGTCCCTTGTTTGGCCTACTTGCCCCATGCGCAAACCACCGGAACAAGGTATTTCCTCCGCAGTGGAGCCTGACCCCGGGATGAGCTGCTCGCCCGGGGTGAAGTTCACGGGCTACCTGTGGATGTTGGCTCAGGTGATGTGCGGGCGGGACTGCCCGCTGGTCAAGGCTGTGAGGGTGCTCACCCTTCGATCGAAGAGGCCGCAGCAGTGGCGGCTGCGGCTGAGGAGGAAAGGCCTGCGGAGAGAACACAGGCGGAGCTTAGCCAGGTAGCAGGGAGCCCTTCAAGGCGGCCTGGTGGGTCGCCGATAGGGCGGGAGCCGGAAGGTATTTCCCGGCGTATATCCCCTTCGTTGTCCTTGCAACAGGCGCCATCTGCGTCGCGAGCTCAGGGAGATGCGGAGACTGAGCTCAGGCGACGGGTTCGGGCGTTCATTGCAACAGCATCAGAGTCCAAGATCCCGTTAGGGCCAGCCGGTGAGCAAGCTGTGGCGGTGCGGAACGTACTACAAACTTCTGCAGCAGCATGTGCAGCAAACTCCAGGAAGACGCTGCCGTTGCACGCTGCGGCGGCAGCTGTGGAGCATATTTTGCTGCTGGCTCAGCCGCAGCTAGGGCCCATACCGACCCGGGAGCGCACGACAGCTTTCCGGGATCTACTGACAGCCGCAGTGCTGGATCTACAACCTCAGCTAATGGCCGAAGCTCAGAAGGCTTTAGCCCGGGCTCTTTTAAGCCCGGGTGATCAGGTGGAGATTATTGCCGCCATGAGCAGATGGGGTGGCATTTCCGCGGCCGCATATGAGGCCTTCACTGCTCCGAAACGTTTGCACCTATCCCAATTTAGGGAGTGGTGTACGGACATGGCCATAGCGCTGGCAGAGTCGGACCTGGTGGCAGTCTTCGTACATATTCGGACAATTCAGGATCCGGGTTCCGGGCTATGGAACTTTTTCGTGGAGACTGTCGTTAGCAGGCTGAAACCAGTTCCACTGGAGGTAATATCCGAGGAGGAGTGGGCAGCTAGCGCCTTCCCTCCAGTGGTTATTCTCCGTCGTTTGCTCCAGGTCCTCCGAGAATGTGCCAAAGAGCAATCGAAACATATTAGCCGTAAACACCAGGCAGAAAGCGATGGTCCCTCTGGATCTCGTCCAGGCAGCAAGGAACTGGATTACGCTCAGAAGCGGCACTGGAGGTGGGACCGCTCTGCAGCTGTGGACGACCGGGTCATGTATGACCAGCCGAATCGAGCTACCGTGGGGCTGGGGGGCGTGGTGGTTCCGCTATCTACCACGGTGGAATCCGGGATGCCTTGGCGTCGATGCTTTCACACAATCCTGGGTCTCCACAAGAAAGGACCCACCCTCACTTCTCTACATGAATCTCCCCTTCTCCCAAGCTGGCCGGGTGCTGGCCAAAGTTCTCGCAGACAAGCCGGACTGCATCATTATATTGCCTGTTTGGCCAGGTGGTGGGTAGCCATTTTACGTCGCTTGCCGGTGCGTGAGGTTTGGCGTCTGCCGCATCGAGAGGACCTGTTCCTGCCGGGGGCCCTGACAGGACGAAGGCAGCCACATGCACCCCACTACCAGGTGTGCGCGTATATTGTCATCTGGTAGACGAACATTTGCGACGCTCCCCTGTCCCTCAACTCATCCAATACATGTGCGGGACCACCCGTTTCGCTTTCTCGTGGTGTTAGACCGGGGGAAAAGGGGGGAAAGGGGGGAGTAGGAGAGTAGGGGAGGTGCGCTGTGCGCCGGTGGCTGGGGAGGAGAAGGGCTGGAAGAATTGGTGGAGTTTAGAAGGGAGTAGGAGATGCGCGCTGTGCACGGGTGGCTGGGGAGGAGAAGGGGTGGAAGAATGGGTGGGATATAGAATGGAGTAGGAGATGCGTGCTGTGCACGGGTGGCTGGGGCGGTGAGGTGGGCAGCTCGGGATGGGAAACAGTGGAACATACTTTACATGCTGCCCTCGTTGCTGGCGTGTGCCCAGCTACTTTGGTTGTGTACAGTGAACGAGCGCTTTGGCTTCAGTTATGCCAATTTCAGAAGTACTGGATACGGTAGTGGCGGTTGCTAAGGTTGTACGGGTCCAAGGAGTGGTGGAGTTTGTTTGAGCAGAGTAAGGAGAGGAGCATGATAGGCGTTGCGCTATTACAGAATTTATTTGTACCGATTAGGCAGCCGGAGAGCGTTGTTGGCAGAAGCTAGGCAAAGTGTTGGAGTGGGAGGCGGTCCAAAAATTTGAGTGCACCGCTTTCCCACCCAGGTCCGTGTTAAAACTTTCCCGCCCACCGTGGTGCACTCATTCGTCTGCGCTATCACTATCACTCGTCTCTACCCCGCGCTCCCAAATGTGGCGGGTCGGATCCAAGTACCGCCATAGGGTGCCCAAAGACTTCATTTGGGCTTTAACTAATAATTCACTAGGGGGCACGCCCTCGTTAAAGGCATGCTGTAAACAACCGCGGCAGAAACTGTGTATGCTCTCGCCTCCATACTGGCCACTACCGCTTAGGTGTTGATGTTGTTACAGGGTGGTTACGCTTCACCAGTGGCCTCCTTCCCGAGGCAATTCCCTGCTCTCCCCTGCTAGAGGGGCACCCCATCCGACTTCAGAGTGTATTCTTTGAGATTGGCAACTCACCACCAGCATCCAACCAAATCTAACAGATCGACGGCGCATCAACTTAGTTCCTTGTCAGCTCGCAAATTGACTTTATCATGTCCTACACCGTCCACAAGATGGGGGGCCACCTCCCATTTCATCACCTCTCAAACACCCCGACAGGTCCGCAGGCGGATTTGGACCCGGACGCGCTGGGACGCGACGGGAGCAGAAGCCAGGCCTTAACCTCTGCCAGCCGCCTGCCTGTTGTTTGAGGCGGCTCCCCAAAGCCTCCGTCGAAAGCGGGGCTTCCTTGAATCGGCGCCCGTCGGTGTCCACGGGCCGGAACAGGTGGTCGGTCACAGGAACTTGGTATGCTGAACACGTTGAAAGATACACCGAAAGAGCACCCAAGGGACAAATCACGGGATTGCTGCTTCTCTCCACCAGTTGCCCGGGTGACCGGACTCCTCGGTACGTCTTTGTTCCCAGCTTCGCGATTTGCAGACGACAAGTGGAAGGGACTCGCCCCTCCACGCCGGGCATAGGAAGCGGAAGGCCTCTGAATGGGCTCCGAACTTGATCGGGGTCCTGAAGATCGTCCAGCCGAAGCTCTCCGCAGTCATGCCCACGCATGCTCGTGCTCCACAGCAGACAGAAAATACTCCGGTCCCGCAGCAGTGTTATGCGGGAAATGGGACTGATGGTGTTGCTAGCGGTCCGCTCCAAGTACGAACTTAGATCTACTAGTTTAGCGTACGTAAGAGGTATGGCACCCTGCTCAGTGACCCTGCCGAGTGAGAATTTGCCGATAACCCTTACCGTAGCCACGAATGGCTGAACACTCGCACGGATTGCCGGTGGATGCTGTCGCATCGTACGGTCCTCGTCGGTTTAGCAGATTGAAAGCTGTTGACAGGTGGGAGATCGCCCCTTGCAAGGTTGCAGGGCAAGGCCGGCGATCTACATGGACCCGGCCTGGGTGCGTGGTGATCCAGTGTTCCTCGAAAAACATCAAGAGTGACGCTGGATCACAGTTTAGTAGATTCACCCTGGGCCGATGCTGGGCAAGCCAACTGTGCAGCTCGTGCGACTGCGTCCGAATCTTCTGCCAGCTGTCCGGGGTCCATTGCTGGCAGATGGTCTCATACGCAGACAACAGTGCCGGGCTAGGCATTTGGGGAACCCCAGGCCGAGCCTCTAGTGAGTGAAGGAACGCTGCCATGATGGGATCCGTGGTGCTGGGTAGTGCTGCCTGCCTTTCGGTATGTGCTGCGGAGCTGGGCGCCCCGGCTTGGTTCACACTCACAGTAGCAGCCTGTGCGCGCAGCGTCTCGTTTTATGCATCGATACATTCTGGACTTTCCACCAAATCTCTAGCCTTACCTCGGGGCTGCTGCCGGTGGCGGGCCTACTGGGACTGGTCCACACCAGTCGCACCAAAGGTTCATTGCTATGACTTGCGCTGGAAGCAGAGATCCGCATCATTTTGTGCGAATCGCTTGCGGCTTTTTGATAGCCCCACCCACCCTCCCTTTCTTCTGTCTGCCTAGAATTTTTGGATTTCTGAAATTTGGCCAGCTACCCGTAACTTATACCGTACATGACCTTCAGTTGTCGGCAGCGAGGCGGGCAGCTCGGGATGGGAAACAGTGGAACATACTTTACATGCTGCCCTCGTTGCTGGCGTGCGCCCAGCTACTTTGGTTGTGTACGGTGGACGAGCGCTTTGGCTTCAGTTATGACAATCCTCTTCCCAACCAACCGCCAACGGTAACAGCTAGCAACGCAACAACTCCTAAGCACCCCACATACGAACTACCTACTTTCACCCCGATCCCAAGAACCCAACTTTACTTTAATATCCGCTTCACACAAAAAAGCAAAATCACCCCACCACATCCTACACACCGCCCACCGCCGATACAGCACACTCCAGGGAACCACACCCTCCCGCAACTTACACTCAATAAAAAGACTGCGAACACCTACTTACTGACATCATTCTCAATACTTCAACCTCATCGGACCTTATCGATAGCAAATCTCGTCTACTACCGCGAACAACACCTCAACCCTCGCTAACTCCATTACCAACATATCCCACCACTCTCGGTATTCCTATCGCCTACTACTGCTTCCTAGAACCTTACAATCCTACATCATCGACAACCATCGCACGGCGCCCACTTCCGCAACAACATCGCTCCAACCCGACCATCGCCCACCAAAGTAAGTCTTCCAGAGCAATCATCCTATCCACCATATCTCGCAAATAATTAGACACAATACCAAACTCGTTTTTTAATCTACACCGCCGCTAATAATAGTTGTGTACCTCCTTCAACGGTACCTAGCATGACAACTTACTACCGCAGAATAACCTCCAATCTGATATTGTTGGGTATTAGCATTTTTTCTTTTTTGAGTTCCTGTTTCCAGTTTGGCGGTTCATGAGCCTTTTGGCTCGTCTGGACCGTACAAGCTTGAAGCTTGTAAACGTAAACGTAAACGTAAACCTCCAAACCAAACACCCAGAAATTATACCATTCACCTTACAACTCGCTACCGTTTTTACCTTGCACTCAGGTTCCTCCTCGCTCACCACTCCGCCACCATCACCAACCGACTACCTTAAACCTACACACACCTACACCAAAGTAAGTGCGGAAACAAGCCATCACTTATCCTAGAAGCATACTGTTCTTACTACGTTTCTTCATCACTACCACAACCCACTTAGCCATCACTACCACTCGCGATGTTATCACCCTGCGTACGCGCACACACGACATTCTAGGCCTCACAGACTCAGTCGCAACCTACTCTCCAAACTAGTCATTCACGTCGTCGAACACATACCCTGAATACACATGAAATATACCTCACCCAACACCGCACTACCGCCATGACCTCCTTAAACAAATTTACCAACTTCTTTTTCCTCACTTTTCTTCCAGGAACCACCGACACCTCCAACAACTCTTCACAAGCACACCAACCACCTCTACCGTCCATCTACTAAAGGTCAGTTTATCCGTAGAGGGCTCTTAGCATAGCAAAGCACCTAAACTTAGCGCAAGAGTCACCTGGTGAGGCCCTGGCAAGGCCGAAACGCGTCGTGACGTGCCTTGCTAAATATAGCTTCAGCAGCTTTCTTTAGGTCAGCTTGCACTCGCTTAGCAGCCCATCTAGTTCTCTTCCAGCTACACCTAGATTTTCTCTTTTTTTCACTACTTTCCTCGCACTACACCTATAAGACTCTCGGCTTAGACCAAACCCCTCCCGGCACTTATTTTTCCTTAACACTCCTCACCTCAGCCAAAACTCCACCTCTATATTTTTACATCTCACCTATACGCAAAAACTACTTCCTAGCCCTCCACACACAACATACCTTCGATAAATTATACTCGTCACTTTTTTATCCCCTCAGCCTAAACCTTCCAAAACTCTCTCACAAAACAAACTACTTTCTCAACCCTAGCTAATCGCCCCTAAAAAGACTCTATAACACATACCTCTCCTTCCAGCTTCTCTTCTTTAGATTTTTCTTTTTAGATTTTTTCGTCTAATACGACCTTCTAACTCATTACTTTATATTTTACCTTTAACTTTTACTTTTTACTTTTACTTTTACTCTATATCTGCGATTCTCTTTAACTTCAAGGTTTTTCCCTAAAACTAATGAGTTTTTATGAATTCCTAAAATTTCTAAGATTTTCAGAACTTAAAAACATTTCCAGAACTTAACAAGTTTCTAAAGTTAAAATTTTCTAAAGCAAAATTATTTAAATTTTTTTTAAAGTTTTTTGCACTAACGAAGGGTTGACCTAAGAACCATCTACCAGCAGCAGCCCGTCCCCTTTAGTAGGCCGTTCACGCGGGATTCCACACGCGTGGGGAAATCCGCCGTGGGAAGTTTCAGGCCAGTCTGCTACTACTGGCATAACTTTTTGCTAATGTTGACGTCTGTCTGCGCCGCGGAACTGTAGCTTTAGGATGGTTTTGGCACGTGTACCGTGCTCGGTCTTGGTAATGCGCGGTGGTGCCATGCTTTTGTGCGAGAGTCAAAAGATGGCAGGAAAGGCGATGCCGGAATCAGGACGCGCTTAGGACGAGCAAAACATTTTCTGGGCCCATCGTTGCGCTTTGGGATGAAATAAGCACGCTGGACGTACAAGTATTTTATGTTGCTGATGACTTTGTGTATAGGCTTTTAGGGAAATAGCGACAAATGCACCGGCATCCGTGGAGCATTAGCCTAGCGGAGCTTCTTTGAAAATGCTCGTGTGCTTTGCAAAGTTTTTCTGCTTGAGCAACATGTAGTTTAGCACGTTCAGACGGAATGTTGTCTATCTCCTGTAGGGCTGTCTGGATTGGTGCCCTTGTGCAAGCACACAAACTTTAAATGTTGCGTAGATCTTCGTCAAAACTACTTCTGAACCGAGCTGCGTATGAATTCTGAGTTAGGGATGCTCATCATTTCACCCCAAAGCGCAACGATGGGCCCAGAAAATGTTTAAGCAGCCCCTTCGCACAAATGTGTCCGGTCGTACTGTGCCAAATAAACACTCCGTACAAGACGCCCAAAAGTCAGGAGCGAATTTTGCCGCGCGGATGCGCGCGTGCGATTCGCAAAATGCGCGTGTACAAGTGTATATAAATTTCCTTGGCGAAAAAGGACGAGGTGCGCCAGCGCGTTGCGCAGGTGGGCATGTTGGCCACAGCCGCACGCGGCATGCAGGCCGGAAATGTGGGTGGCTCCTTTGCCGTAATTGAAAGAACTGAAATCATACAACTTAGCTTGCAAGGCTGGGCTCATGACACGGCCGCGGGAAGAGGAAGCGTTTGGCGAAGCGACACTTTTGTGCAAGCAAACGGTCGCGTTTTTGGTAGCGCAACGTATACAGCACCTTGTTCAGAGTAAAGTCAAATTACAAAGTTGCGCAAAGTATAACATACATAAACTTAATTAAACATAAGAACAGATAAGACGTTTAGAGCCTTGTCGGTGACATGGACGCCGCTGTTGGCTTGGAACAGCTATTTGCTGTGCATAGGGACGTGCCCGCGTTAGCCGTGTTGCAACAGCTCAGGATGGATTTCAGCCAGCAACAGCCTCAAGAGCTGCTGCACAACCACCGGGAATGTCTTCAGTTGGGCACGTGTAGTTTTGGTCGGCGGGGTCGAGCATCGTACGCATTGCGCACAGAAACCAAGGAGCAGCGTCTCTGTAACATCGCCAATATATCCGGTACGCGGTGGCAGGCTTGCCGAGCACGAAATGAAGGGGGGTCGCATCTCACCATTCAACTAAGCATGCATGTGCTCGGTTGAATGCTCGGTAGCGTGCGAGTTTACCTAACAGGATGTTTGTTTGCATATATCCCTCCAAGCGAGAGGGCTTGGACCTATGCTGATGTTCGTTACAAGAAGTGAACTGAGGACTGATGCTACACGTCATGTATACGCGTTGCTTAGCTTGCAACGAGACGCGCCCACGATGAAAAGTATGCACGTAAATTCGCCCGTGCGCCGAACGCCTTGTAACGCTTCAGATAACTCAATATACATTATACTGCTACACTATTCTCTCCAGTCCTACCACATTATATTTCACCGACGTACTTCGGCACCTTCCACAACAATACATGCTTCGTAAACACGGCCACGAAAGAACTGAAAGCATACAACGTAGCTTGCAAGAATGGCCACATGAAACGGCTGCGGGAAGAGGAAGCGTTTGGCGAAGCGACACTTTTGTGAAAGCAAAGGGGCGCCTGCATTTGGTTGCGCAAAACATACAGCATCTTGTTCAGAGCAAAGTGAAATTACACACTTGCGCAAACAGGTATAACATACACAAACTAAAGTAATAAGCATAAGAACATAAAAGTCGTTATGAGCCGTGTGGGTGAGATGGACGCCGCTGATAGCTTGGAACAGCTTTTTGATGTGCATACGGCCGTCATGTAGTACACACCCGATCAGTCTATGTTCTTACATGACGCCAGTTCATATGCTGGGTTGTGGAAGCTGCGCTGATGAAGTGCATTACAACTGCCAACCGTGCCCAGATACAGCTACAACATTCATTTAAGTGTCCGCTGCATATGATTTCATCCAACAGGTCTGCATGGTGCCACAGCCGTCCGTGTGGCGCATCCACATGATGGCTGCGTGTGCGACGACGGTACAGCCGACACGACATCCTTGCTGAACGATCCACAAGCACACCGCAATCGTGCAGAACACGGAAACCCGTCCTGCGGCACAGGTAAGCGCCTGCCAATGTGGGCATGTGATTGGCGTCTCAGGCTTCTCTGCAGTTGCTGGCAATACGGTATGGGCTGTTCAGGCAGCATCAGGCGTGTCCACATGAGGTCATGATTGTGCAGTACGTCGGGCAGGTGCACGCGGAGGACGTGCAGCAGGCCAAGTCGGTGATGAGGGATGTGGCTGTGGCGGCCATGTTCGACATTCTACGGCAGCATGTGCCTCATGGCTGGCCCCTGGCATTCCCGCTCCGGGAATGTGTGGCCCTGCCCAGCACGAGCGCCAACGAGGGGGATCCTCAGA